AGAAATAAGTATATTTAGGCTAATTATATAGTAGCTCTTACTCTGGCCGAACTAGAGTAAGCTTAGGACTATAGAGTTTTATTATATATTATAGAATATAGAGGCTAGAATATAAAGGCTAGTTAATACCTATCTTTTATATAGGGCTCCTTTTTTAGTAAAAAATAAAAATACCCGTATACTAATTAGTATATATATTACTAACTAATATACTTTCTAGTAAAAGGGATTTCGGTAAAGAGGTACCTCTCCTACTACCTTTTAATAAGTATTCTCTTATTTTAAAATATATTCTCATTATATTATTATATAATCTAGCTTATAGAATTACTATTTATTATACTTATAAGTCCTATATTATCCTAGAAATATATAGTCAAAAGCAGTATTTATAAGTATAGCTATACTAACTCTTGAGAAACAAGCTTAAGGCAATTATAAAGCTTCTTAATAACTATAACTTAAGAAATATAGCCGAGCTAAAAGAGTATAAGCCCCGGCCTAAAAACAAGTACTAGATAACTAAGTACCTAGTTAGCTATAATAGCATTTACTATCTATAGCTATAGTATAGCTATAATACCTGCTTATAAGGCTAGGTCTTATATATTAAAACAAGGAATTACTTTATAAAACTCTATTATCTAGTATAGGCTAAATAAGAACTAATTATAATTAAATAGTAATTACTAAAAGGCCTAATAATATAATAGTAATATATAAAGTTAGTAAACTCTATAGCCTAGATTCGATTCCTAGTTAGGCTCCTGATTTGCTTCTTAATAAATACTCTTATAGTATTTAGTAATAAATAAATCTATTTTTTTTAGTCTTATTTTTTAAATAAGAAATATTATATAGGAATACTAGTCTAGCTTTAAGAAATATATAAAGCCCTCTTTACCTGCCTTTTATTTCTCTTTCTTTTCTTTTTTTCTTTTCTTCTATTCTTTTTTCTTCTAGCCGCTTTTCTTTCTCTTTTCCTTACTTCCTCTCAATTAAATAAGTAAGAAATAAAGATAATATAAGAACCAGAATAATAAAAGAATTAGTAGCTAGTTATACTCTAGGGTTTTATTTCCTAAGCTTTCCTATATAGGTCGTTTTATTAGGTACTTACCCTAGAGAGAAACTACTTATATTACCTACCGGGGCTTTAAATCTATAATTAGCTTACTAGTATAGTATACTCGAGACTATTTATAGACTAACCGCCCTGCTCCCTTCTTCCGGAAGGCTATTAATACCCGAAATAGTAATAAGGAAGCCGGAGCTTCTATTATATTATAGCTAAAGAATTACTATAATAGTAAGAATATATATAGTTAGTTCTAACTATACTATAAAGGCTTAGTATTAGGCTTTTAGTAAATCAAAAAAGCTTATTTTAATATATATAACCTAGAGCTAAAGTAAATATAATTATATACTTATTTAAGTTATATAACTATATTTATTCGAGGTATCCTAATAAAATCCACTAGCTAATTTAATTATAAGTACTATAAGCTAATAGGATATATAGCCTAGCTTAAATTAACCTAGCTTCTTTAAAGAAAGAAATTATATAATTATATATTACTTAAGTTCTCTCTTATTTAAAAGTAAGAAATTAGTTTCTAGATTCTATTATATAATATAAACTAAATAAATATATTATATACTTTTCTATAATATCTTGAATTTATTTCTTTATAAAACTCTTATTCTATCTCTTATATAAGGCCCCTTTTTTAGTGAAAGGTAAGAATACTAGTATACTAATTAGTGTATATACTACTAACTAATATACTTTCTAATAAAAGAAATTTTAGTAAAAGGGCACCTCTCCTACTACCCCCCACCCTCCTTTAAATAAGTATTCTCTTGTCTCAAAGCACATACTCATTATATTCTTATATAATCCGATTTATAGGGTTACTATCTGTTATATTTATAAGTCCTATATTATTTCAGGAATATGTAGTCAAGAATAGCACCTGTAAGCACAGCTATACCGACTCTTGGAAGACGAGCTCAAGGCAACTATATAGCTTCTTAGTAGCTATAACCTGAGGAATATAGCCGAGCTCAGAGAATACAAGCTCCGGTCCAAAGACAAGTACTAGATAATTAAGTACCTAGTTAGCTATAATAGTATCTATTATCTATAGCCATAGTATAGCTATAGTACCCGCTATTTCCCTAAGATAAAGGAGTACTGGGCTACTTGCTACAAGACTAAAACAAGGTCTTATAAGAGTAGTTAGTTATAGAAAGAGTATAAGCTATAGATATACTTTACTATAAAGGGCCGGATTAATTATTTTATAGTAATAAATAGAGAGAAAGGCAGGGAAATAGCCAGAGGCTCTATATTATTAACTGAGCTAGAGAAGGAACTATTTAAGTAATTAGAGAAGAATTATAAAGATATAAAATGCGATCTTAAGAAGCAAGTAACTATAGTCCAGGATATTAGAGATTTAAGGTCAAAAAGGATACTATAGCTATATAATATAATAGGTTTTCCATATTATCTAACTATATTAAAAAATAAGGAGATCTAGAGCTCATATAAGCTATTACTAAAGAAAGAGCTTAATACAGATAGTAAGAATACTAAGGATCCTAATCTCGTCCGAATTTTAGTTATAGCTAAGGCTACCTTAAGAGATATATACCGGTTATATAGTAATACCTTACTAGACCAGAAAATAATATAGTAGCGGGCTAATATCCTAAATGAATTCTATACTAGGGCTTTAGATAAAGCAGATAGGTTCCGGTATTTCAAGAATATATTAACTCTAGTTACCTACTTTACTACTATAAAGCAATTATTAATATACTATTACCGTATAGTATATTATAAAAGCGGCCATTTTACCCGGGCTAAGCTAGAGCAAGTACTACCCGGGAATATTATTTAGCTAATTACTTTATAGATCCAAGCTATAAATAAGATTATAGAAGCCTTGGCTATTAAGGATATAAAGGAGGCTGAGCTAGCTTTCAAACATATTATTTGGCAACTTTACTTGGCTCTAATTTACTATACTATTAGTAGCATATTATTCAAGTCTCTTATCTTGAGTTTCTATACTATACTAAGTAGGAAAGTCTATAGGAAAGGCTAGGGATTATGGGAGGAGCCAGGGAATTTTAATAGCTATTTATTAGCTCTGACCTAAACTACTTAGCTAGTACTTTTTAACTATACTTATTTCCAAGAGCAAAATAATAAAGATTAAATCCCTGTCTTTCTTACCAAGATCTATAAGAAATTCTTCTAGTAGCTAGCTAAGACCCTATTTAGATATATTCTATAATAGAGGCTATACTTATTTAAGGTTAGAAAAGCTACTATTATAAAATACCAAGCTCGGTAGTCTTTAAACGGGCAGATAATAAAATATTATAAGATAGAATTATAGATATTATAGATCTCTAACTTAGTGATTTCCGAATATTAATAAGCCTATACCCTGCTTTATAATAAGCTCCTGTTCCAAGCCAAGGACCTTATCCTAATAGAATTATAGAGGCTAAAAAATAACCTAGATCTAGAAGATTTTGGCAGCTCGTGGCTTTCTTATCCTAGTAATACCAAGTTTCTAGAGAATACTAAGCTTGCTCTTATCTGGCGGATCCAGGGTAATACTAAGCTCCGGGCCATATTCTTAACTAATAGTAAGGATAGAAGTATAGTCTTATATCTAAAGGCTATGGCTATTTATAAGGCATATACTCAGGAATTCCTAGAGTGAGTATTAGTATTATTTCATATTCCCGGCGGCCTACTATTATAAGCGTCCGAGTTACTATTAGTAATATAGTATAATAATACTTAATAGCGCCACTTATTAATATGAGAGAAGCTAGTTATAATCTATACCCAGTATTATAAGGGTTAGTAGTAGTCTGGTATATATAAGAATAATATCTAATTCTTACTAAAAACAATTAGGGATCTATTACTTTTATATATTATATATGTCCTATCTCTAAAGCAACTATTCTTCTAATAATAGACTCCAGGTACTCTTATCTCTTTATATCTCTGGGCTAAGCTAGACGGGATAGTATAGGCTAATAGGATACTTTTGGCCTGCCTAATAAAAGTATATACTTATATTAAGGTACTATGCCTATATATATTAAACTAGTAATAGTTTGCAATATTAATTATAAAGGAGAAGTTTTCTATTAAGGAACGGGCGAATTTTAATCTTAAGGAGGATATAGAAGAAAATATTAAGGACGAGCTAGATCTAGTTACTCTAGTAGAACTAAGTAATTATATATATTATACTTTTAATTATATATATACTAGAATAATAATACTTACTATAAATACTCTATTATACCGGAATTACCGAGTATTCGAGAGTTAGTATATATTCTTCCGGTTTAACTATATTCTATAGGGAAAGAGGCCGCAGGATATTTTAGAGATACTATTACTATAAATACTAGATGCTTTTAAGTATAATTAGATATATAAGAGAAATATATACTTCGAGGCTAATTTACTAGTTATTACTCGGAAACTATATAATATACCAGGCTTATAATTCCGGGTCTCCGGTTAGCGAAATAAAATACTTGCTATTATAGGGCCTTAGCTAGCCGAGTAGGTAGTTCTAGTAATAGGAACCGGCTCCGGTAAGACTTTAGTTATTATAATTAGAGCTATAATTATAGATACTAGGACTATAATCCTGGTTCTACTAATAGTTATTTTATAGGGTAATATACTAAGACGCTTTTACGAAGTAGGTATCCGGCCACTAATCTGGTCCGTTAACTACTAATAGTTAGCTTTATTAGTTATTATATTAGCCAAAGCTATATATACTTAAGGCTTTCTTAAATACTATTATATTCTAGTTAGTAAGTAAAAGCTAGACCATATTATAATTAATAAGGGTTATCTTACTATTATAGCTAGTAACTACTAGCTATATATGGCCTAACTAGGCTAGTATATCCGGCAGATCAGGATATAGATAGTTTAGCTAATAGCTATACTTCCTCTAGTAATACAAGAAGAGTTTATTAAGTATAATAAGCTTATAAAGCCCAGGATTATCCGGGAGTCAACTAACCGGCCTAATATTAAGTATATAATTAGCTTTAAAGCTAGACCCGGGCCCTTAATTAAGAGAGCTACTAATCTAATACAGGTATACTAGCCTAAGCAGGAGATCTTTAACTATTCCCGGAATAAGATTATTATTTACTACTATATATAGAATGAAGTAGCTTAGCTTACTAACCTTCTATAGTATTTATTATATATTTCCGAATTAGGGTCTAATAAGGAAAAGGCTACTATTCTCTCCTAGTAAATTACTAATAAAGACTAGCCTATAATTATAGCTATATTTGCTCTCGGGATTGGGTTTAACTATCTTTATATATAATAAGTAGTTTATATAAATATACCTAGTAAAGTATTTGCCTTCTCTCAGGAATCTGGTAAAGCAGGCCAAGATAATAAGAAGGCTTCTTCTATTATCCTCTTATATTCCGGATAGAAGCCGCAAGTAGATAGGTCTCTCTTTCCTGATTAGGAGGCCATATAGCTATATTTAACCTAGTAATACTGCTTCCGGGGCGTCCTCAGTCAGTTTTTGGATAATCGGCCAAATTAGTAATAGTATATAGCGGGCAAAGAGATATACCAGGTCTATAGAGAGCCTTATACCAAAGCCCGGCCTCTTGACTTGAAATTTGAGTTAGTAGTAACCGGAGGAATGCAATTTACTAGTCCGGATAAGGTATTACGGTAAGACTATATCCGAGATTAGGTACTTAATAACTATAAGCAAGACCTTGAAATCATATTAGGCAGTTATCTCTATTATTATATGCTTGGCCATAAATTCAATTACATACCAGGTGCTTGCTTCCGGCGGTTCTACTAGATCTATATAAAGAATGAGGCATATTAGACGCAGAAGAGGGAAGAGAAAAAGTAGATTTAGTAGTATGTGGCTTACTAGAACTACTACTAGCTATAGGACATTTGCCAGGTAGTGGATCTAGAGTATAAAAAGGCAGAATATTAGTTCCCTAATATAGTTATACTACTTTATTACGGGGTATATAAACGGGCGGGTAGTAGTAATTAGCTATAGAAGCACTTCCGGCGGATGTTTTAGACTAAACTTGAGTATATACTCTGGCTTAAAGAGATAGTATTACTCGAGAGAAATAAGTATATCTAGGCTAATTATATAATAGCTTTTACTCTAGCCAAACTAGAATAAGCTTAGGACTATAAAGTTTTATTATATATTATAGAATATAGAGGCTAGAATATAGAGGCTAGTTAATACTTACCTCTTATATAGGGCCCCTTTTTCGGTAAAAGGTAAGAATGCCCGTATACTAATTAGTATATATACTACTAACTAATATACTTTCCGGTAAAAGGGATTTCGGTAAAGAGGTACCTCCCCTATTACCTTTTAATAAGTATTTCCTTATCTCGAAGTATATTCTTATTATATTATTATATAATCTAGCTTATAGAATTACTATTTATTATGCCTATAAGTCCTATATTATCCTAGAGGCATATAGTTAAGAGCGGTACCTATAAGTATAGTTATACTAACTCTTGGGAGACAAGCTTAAGGCAACTATAAAGCTTCTTAATAATTATAACTTGAGGGATATGGCCGAGCTAAAAGAATATAAGCCCTGGCCTAAAAACAAGTACTAGATAACTAAGTACCTAGTTAGCTATAATAGCATTTACTATTTATAGCCGTAGTATAGCTATAATACCTATTTATAGGACTGGGTCTTATATATTAAAACAAGAAATTACTTTATAAAACTCTATTATCTAGTATAGGCTAAGTAAGAACTAATTATAATTAAATAATAGTTACTAAAAGGCCCGATAATATAATAGTAGTATATAGAATTAGTAAACTTTATAGCCTAGGTTTGATTCCTAGTTAGGCTCCTGATTTGCTTCTTAATAAATACTCCTATAGTATTTAGTAATAAGTAGATCTATTTTTTTTAGTCTTGTTTTTTGAGTAAGAGATATTATATAGGGATACTAGTCTAGCTTTAAGAAGTATATAAAGCCCTCCTTGCCTGCTCTTTGCCTTTCCTTCTCTTCTTTCTTTCTCTTCTCTTACTTTTTTCTTTTCTAGCCACTTCTCTTTCTCTTCTTCTTACTCTCTCCTAATTAAACAAGCAAGAAGTAGAGGTAGTACAAGAACCAGAATAATAAAAGAATTAGTAGCTAGTTATATTCTAGGGTTTTATTCCCTAAGCTTTCCTATATAGGTCATTTTATTAGGTACCTACCCCGGGAGGAAACTATTTATATTACTTGCCGGGGCTTTAAATCTATAGTTAGCTTACTAGTATAGTATACTCGAGACTATTTGTAGACTAACCGCCCTGCTCCCTTCTTCCGGAAGGCTATTAATACCCGAAATAGTAATAAGGAGGCCGGAGCTTCTATTATATTATAGCTAAGAGGTTACTATAATAGTAAGGATATATATAGTTAGTTCTAACTATATTATAAAGGCTTAGTATTAGGCTTTTAGTAAATCAAAAAAGCTTATTTTAATATATATAACCTAGAGCCAAAGTAAATATAGTTATATATTTACTTAAGTTATATAACTATATTTACTTAAGGTATCCTAGTAAAATCCACTAGCTAATTTAATTATAAGTACTATAAGCTAGTAGGATATATAGCCTAGCTTAAATTAACCTAGCCCCTTTAAAGAAAGAAATTATATAATTATATATTACTTAAGTCCTCTCTTACTTAAAAGTAAGAAATTAGTTTCTAGATTCTATTATATAATATAAACTAAATAAATATATTATATACTTTTCTATAATATCTTGAATTTATTTCTT